CTGTCACCTCCCCTCAACCATCCTCTTGTCACCTTCCCTCTCACTCATTCCTCCTGTCACCTCCCCTCAACCATCCTCTTGTCACCTTCCCTCTCAATCATCCTCCTGTCACCTTCCCTCTCAGCCATCCTCCTATCACTTCCCCTCAACTATCCTCCTGTCACCTCCCCTCAACCATCCTCCTGCCATCTCCCCTCTCAGCTATCCCATCACCTCCCCTCTGACATCTTCCTGTCACCTCCCTTCAACCATCCTCCTGTCACCTCCCCTCTCAACCATCCTCCTGTCACCTCTCCTCTCAGCCATCCTCCTGTCACGTCCCTTCAACCATCCTCCTGTCACCTCCCCTCTCAACCATCCTCCTGTCATCTCTCCTTTCAGTTATCCTCCTGTCACCTCTCCTCTCAGCCATCCTCCTGTCACCTCCCCTCAACCATCCTCCTGCCATCTCCCCTCTCAGCCATCTTCCTGTCACCTCCCTTTAACTATCCTCCTGCTACCTCCCCCCTCAGCCATCCTCCTGTCACCTCCCCTCAACCATGCTCCTGTCACCTCCCCTTAACCATCCTCCTGCTACCCTCCCCTCAACCATCCTCCTGCCACCTCCCCTGTCAGCCATCTTCCTGCTACCTCCCCTCTCAGCCATCCTCCTGTCACCTGGGCTGGAACTCCTGGGTTCAAGTGATCCTCCTGCCTCTCACCCTCCCAAGTCACTGGGATTACAAGGGTGAGGCACTGTGCGTATCTTTCCCAGAGCATTTTTCTCAGCTCATTATTATACAGTAACTCTAAGGACTCTTGTTTAGCATTCTATCCTCTTTCTAGACTGAAAGCTTCAGAGGGGACCATGCCTGAAATCCCAGGGACTAGCTGAAAATATGGCACACGAATGAATGAATGAATGAGAGAATAAACGAAACAGTGACCTGCAATCACATAGCTAGTGCACCCAGGCCTTTCAGAGTACTTTCTACTCCCAAATCAGTTCTGATCAGACTGAAAGAAAGAATTCTTCATTGAGAGAAAAGGAGAAAGTTCCTCCAGGAGGAAATACTTTCCTGGAGCAAAATATTATGTAAGTTAAAGACAAGGAAGAGCAAATGTGGCAGGGGGAGAGAGCTTGAAGGTGCCAGCTCCCGGAAGCCCAGGCCCCTGGCTGTGACTGGGGCAGTGGAGGCTGGGCCTTGGCCAAAGGAGGGGCTGAGGCACTTGCTGGGCTAGGGCTGAGCGGGAGGCGAGCGTGGGCTGTCACGGCACCAGAACCAGCACTGGGGAACACTGAGCAGAGGGAGACTGGCTGATCCCAGTGGCTCTGGATACCCTTCTGTCCAGCACATAGACAAAGGAGCAGCCTGTGTGTGTCCCCAAATCAGGCCTGAGTTCTAAACACCTGAAGAAGCGGCCTACGTCAGGTGCCACCTGTAGGACAGGTACTGCACTTGACTGCTTCAGAGCATTTGCCCCCTAACAGATCTCTCACTCGCCAGAGAGGGCGACTAGCTCCCTTCACACAGAAGGGATCTAAAGAGGCATGAGTGACTGTGCGGAGGCCACAAGGCCACGTGAAGAGTTGGAGCTGAGAACTCAGTACTCCAAAACCCAGAGCTGGTGCCTGGGAAGTGGGGCCACTCAGAAGGGCTGAGCCCTGTGGCCTTGTTTCTTGGCTGGGAAGCTGGACGGACTCTGGCAGACCCCTCTCATGCATCTGGCCCCGTCTAATCAAAACCAGTCTGTGTGCTTTTGCCCTGTTCAGGGGGAGGCTCCAAAGAGCTGGACAGGCATTAGGGAGAGTCAGGTTACAGGAGGCTCTGGATCCATCAGCCCTCCCAGGAGGCTGGGAAATCGGAAGTCACCTATGTGCAAAACAAGCTCAGTCTTAGCACCCCAACATGCTCTGATTTTGAGCTACAACAATAATTATTATAGTTGACACTAATGGTGGGCAACTGCCACAACAGACCGAGGCTCAGAGAGGCAGACAATCTGCTGTCACCCAGGTCTGTCTCCCCCATGAGCACTCGTGAGCGGCTGGCCCATAGACTATGTGCCTGCTCTGTCCCCTTCGGGTCTGCCACACAGCCTTGCGAGCCCTGGGAATGCTGCTGCCTGTCCTCCAGGAAGTATCCGAGAAGTCGTCTGTTGCTTTTCAGATTGGTCTCATTGCCCAGATATATGAATAAAAATCAGGAGATTCTACACAAAATACTAAGGAGAAAAAGTACTTCTTTCACACAGACTGGGGCTAAGGGCCCCAAATCTGTATTCTGGTTAAATCTGGATTCCTGGCTTACTTAATAATCAGGATCTGGCCACCTGGGGCCTTTGGGTGGGGTGAGCCACGTGTGCTGCACAATTCATTTGATACCCAGCCCTGAAGCACCTGGGTGCCGCTGGAAGTCCTCCACGCTCCCTCTAGCATCGTCTTCCCACCTCTGCTTAACCAGCTTTCCACGGCTGCCCTCTGCTTGGAATGCAAACTCCTGCCACACACAGCCCACCAGGCCCCATGGCGTCTGCCCCCAGCCCCACAGCCTGGGCTCCTCTCTCTGTCGCTCCATGTCCTGCCTTCTGTCTTGCCCTCTGTCTGCTTTTCACAGGTGCCCGGGCCATTCCCACCTCAGGGCCTTTGCACACACCATGCCTGGCACACTCCCCCCCGTACCGGCCCCACAGCTCATTCTCACCATTCAGTTTCAGCTCAAATGTGGTTTCCTCAGAGAGGCCTCCAGCTCTAGCCCCTCTATTCCTCCACCCTATTTCTTTCCTTACGAGCGTCATCACCTTCTGAGAAGCGAGCCCCAGAGCTAGTGTGCCTGGGCTCTGCCACTTCCTGGGCTTGGCCTCCTCCCCCATCAGTCCAGCTCCGCGGCCGGATGGGGTGGAGTGAGCTGGCCTGCCTGCAGAGCTCAGCTGCACAGGCTCCAGCGAGCACAGGCCCCACGGCAGCTCCTGCCACTGCACCCACGTGACCACCTCCCACTCCTTTGGTGGACGCCAAGTTCGCACCCTCCATAGTACAGCAAATGCTCACAGGCCAAACCAGAGCCCGGTTACCAACAAGCCCCGGCCGTTTTCCCCGTGGCGCTGGCCTCCCTTCCGGCACGCCCTGCCAACCGGCAGCCTCGCACCTTCACCTGCAGCCTGCCTGGGGGAAGCCACTCTCCAGAGGAGCTGGCACATGGCACACACAACCTGGCTGAAAGAGGCTCAGGCCACCCTGGCCTTGAGGACTCTGCAGCCTGCTCAGAGCAGTCGCCCGTGAAGTCCCATCTCCCGAGGAAGGCAGGACTCCTCCTCCCACCCTCGCTCTCTCCCCCACACGATCTGCCTCTCACACAGCCCTGCTGGGCTCAGAGTCTCATTTACGAGCTGAGCCTCCACCCTGGGTGGCTCACCCACGGCCCACAGCTGGGAGGTCTCGTGAGGAGAAGGAGCTCCAGATGCGCAGGAGCCACCTGGGGCAGTCTGGACAGTGGCGTGAGTGCCAGGAGCCACAGAGCTGGGTCCTCGTGTCCCCCAGGAGCACTGCAGCGCTGGGGGTCAGCAGGCCCACCTCGCCTTTGAGGAGATGCCCGAAACAAACACTGAGAACTCTAGGCAGCCCATTAAAGTATTTCTGCTTTATTACTCCGAGTTTTGTACTTTTTAAATGTTTTTGCCTTTACTGTCTCAGGAACTGTTTTCTAATAAAAATCATGTTGGGGGTCCCTGGATATCACCTCACAGTCCCCTGCCAGCCCCACTGGACCCCAGGTACTTCATACCCATGGGCTTGCTCGTCCCCGGAACACCTTGCCAGGGCAATGCCATAGTCCCCATCTTCTGGATGAGGAAGCGGGGCTCACTCAGGCCCACTAGCTGCCCGAGGAATGGCTCCCGGCCAGGGAGAGGAGCTGGATTCACTCCGGGTCCAGCTGAGCAGGAGCCCAGCCTGGGCTCTGTTTGTTCCCCACTTCTCAGTGTGAGCCACTCCACAGGCCTCTGCTGGTGCCCTCTGGCCTCCAGCACCTCCTCCGGTCAAGGGTCCGTGGTGGGAGAGGGCTCAGGCAGGGCAGGGGGCTGTCCTGGCCTCCTTTCTTTCATTCGCCCCTTGGTCAGAACGGCCAGCCCCAGGAAACTCGGCTCTAGTCCCTGCCCAAGGGCCTGCTCCGTTGCGGCACACAGCACTGCCTCAGGAGTCCAGGCCCTGCCATCATCTCAAGCAAGAGATGTCTCCGTGCCTTTGCAAACGCTGTTCGCTTTGCCTGGAAGCCCCCCTCTTCCAAGCACACGTGTCCTGGCTTCTGGTCAGTTCTGCCCCCACCTCACAGCCCTGATGTCCTGGGCCCAAACTCCAGGATCTGACCACCAATGTCCTGACACTAGGTACCTTCACTGCTGGGCTTGGCAGAGGCCAGGCTCCATCCCAGCCTGGGACTGTCCCCAGTCTACCCTGGCACTACAGCTGGCAGGGTGTCTTCCTGGGGCCCTTTGTGCCTCCCCAGGCTGGCCTGCCATTCCACCTGGCCTCCAGGACATAGCAGGATCCTGCCCACAAGGACCCTCTCCTGGCTGGGGCCCCAGTTAACACAGCAGATAGTCATTGGTGCAGCCAGAGTCAGAGATGGGGAAATTGGCACGCAGCCTGGGTAGGCCTCGAGACCCCCTTGGAGAAGGGGACCATTGGGAATGGGGCCCCACTCTTCTTGGCCTCAGCCAGTCCCCAACCCAGAAAGGAAAACAGTTTCTTTGGTCACATTTGCCACTTGTGGCCCACCTGTCTCCATACACAAACATGAGAAACACCAACAGCTCCGGTACAGCAGGCAAGGGAAGGAGCTGGCGAGAGTTCCATGCAGAACCAACACCAGAAGCACAAAACAGACATTCTGGCCACCACCAAGATGCCCTGCCTTGAGCCTGAGGGCCCCTGGAATCGAGAGGTGGACACAGGATTTCCAGGGGGCTGCCCATTTCTTTAGGGGTGGGCAGCATGCCTGGTCAGCTCAGGCCATACTCACCATTGGAGCGGTGGATGCAGGTGTGCTGGTTGTCACTGAGGAAGAAGCCACTGTGGCACTGACACTCGTAGCTGCCCATGGCATTGACACAGATCTGTTGGCAGCCACCATTGTTGTCCTGACACTCATCCACATCTGCGAGGAGAGAAAGATAAGGGAAGAAGAAATCATACCTGGAGCTGGAAGTGAGGGGTGATGGGCTGGTGGGACATGGAGGCAATGAATTTCCCCAGAATGCACCAAAGGGGCTCCCGGAGGGACCTTGTGGCGCTGTGCTCCAGCGGTACTCTACAGTGGTACTCCCAGGAGGCACTGTGTGGTGGCACTCTACAGGGGTACTCCACACTAGTACTCCACAGTGCTGCGCACAGTGGTACTCCCCAGACGTACTCCAGGGTGCCACACCATGGCGGCACAGAGGTACTCCAGGGTGCCGCACCATGGTGGCACAGTGGTACTCCCGAGAGAGCCTCCTCAGAAGCAGCCAGTTAGCACAGCTGTAATGCTAGCTGATCCTGTTTGCCGAGTGCCTACCACTAGTCTAAGCACATCACCTGCATTGGCAAAGGGATCACTCCTTTGATCCCTCAGCAACCCTGTAAGTCAGATCTAGGTATTAGCCCATTTTATAGATGAGGAAACCGAGGTACAGAGAGGCAAAGTCACTTGTCCAAGGCTCCACATACGGTACGTGACAGAGACATGATTTAAACCTGGTGGTCTGACTGTCAAACCTGGGCTCTCACTGATGTCGCCAGACTGCCTCTCTCGAGGAAGAGATAGAGCAGCCTGCACTGGCTCCCCCAACACATGCAGCCTCACCAACCAGCCCCCACCGCCCCTCTTCCTCCAGCCACCTCAGGCCTACAGCCAGCAGCACAAGACCTTGGCACCAGAGGCTGGAGACAAGGCAGCAAGCTGAGGCTTTGTGCCCTGCAATTGATTCCACAAGCCCAGAGAATGAGGAGGTTTTTAAAAGGTCCTGACCTCTGGCTGCCGTGACTGCCACGGAAGGCTGCCAAGTGGTCTTTCCCACTCCCCAGGAGAGACAGACCTCAGGGCTGACACTCATTTTTGACCAGGGGCCACTGGCACAAAAGGTGCTATGGCTGGGAAGAGTCTTTATGGAGTTCTGGTCTTGAGCAGAACAGCATGTTTCAATTACCAGAGTCATAACCCCCTACTCTGTCGGTTTGTTTAATGAAAGAAGGGCTTCTTAAACCTTAATGTTCCATGTCTGTATTGTCATTTTAATAGGCAAATATATAAAACCACAAAGGCAACGTGAGCTACTGGCTGCTTCTGGCCAATCCCCGGCCCCCAACACACACACACACACACACACGCACACACACACACGCACGCACGCACGCGCGCACACACACACACACACTTTGACTTTGAGCTTTGTGCAGTTCTTTTTAACACAGACATCTTTTACTATTGGGACCAAAAAGATGTGAGAAGGTAAAGAGTCAGGCAGAGTGACCTGCGCTAGGCTGGGAGGGGACCCGGCTCTGGAACGATTTCAGCTGGGTCCTATTTAGACTCACAGACAACAGGCCACTTCACCACCCAGGAGACCACGCGGCTGCCTTTGAGGCCGACGGCGAGGTCATTATTCTCTTGCAACCTCAAATGTCAGCTGTACAGCAGCCGGAGGGGGGAGGCAGAGCTCTGAACTCTAAAAGCCACCAGGAGTTACAGCTAAAATGGGAAAGGTGGCTCTTGCTGAGATGAGCCACATGATCATACCACGGCCTGAGAGTCCGACTGGGGGAGGCCTGGCAAGTATAGACAGGGACTATTCTGAAAACCTTTCTCTGCTCAGCAAAGTCTTGCTCATGGCTCCTAAAGGCCCAGTGCCAACATCACCTTTGCTGGGGGACCCCTGACAGGTGGCAAGCAGTCGCCTCCCCTCCACCCCTCAGAGGGTTCGTCTCCAGCCCGCACTGGACCACGACCAGCACCGTGTGGATTCATCCTGTTCACACACACAGAGGACAGCCCTGGAGCACTGAGTGCCAAGTGCAGGCTCATGATCCTCTCAGCGGCCTCACAGTAGGGCGTGTTGCCGACTCCACTGTATCGGTGGGGACGTGAAGGCAGAGCGCTGAAGGAACTGGGGCAAAGTCACACAGTGAGTGAGAGCGAAGGCAGGACTCGCATCCCTGTCTAGCTCCAGAGCATGTGCCTGTGGCTCCCGTGCTAAGCTGGTGGCATCGCGCATTCAGACTAATGTTATGAAGAACCAGCTACTCCTAACACGAGCTGGAGTCCGGGTGTCAACTTGAGCACGCGCATGTGAACCCCAGATGCAGACTGGCATTGCTAGCATCAAGAATGACCCAGCATTCCTGCAGTCAGTTCCATCTCTGGCCCCAGAAGGTCCTGCAGAGGCACCTATGCCCACATGCTTAACAGCAAGACTGAGCTCGTGCAGCTGCCCCTGGACTCAGTCTAGACCCCTCTCGAGCCATAGTCACTGCTTTTCTTCCTGTGTTCTCCTACTCTTTGCTTTGTACCTTGGCTTCCCCAACTTTAGTAAAGGTTCGGCTGTAAAGCAAACAGATATAGTCACTCAAGTGCTGAATTCATGGTACAGAAATGCTACCTCGTCCCTGCTATGAATAAGCTCCTGGTGTCACCCATGTGCAGCCATCTGGCCTGGCCCAGCTCCTCACCTCGTTGAAAGCTAGGAACCAAAGAGCAGATGATGTAACACATCTACAAACCCTTGATGACCTGGCAGAGTGGCTGGGGCTTGGGACAGGGCTGTTTACACTAGCAGGGAACAATGACTCGCCAACACTGATGAATAATTGGAAACAAATGCAAGGCCATGTAAACATTTCTTTTCCCCACTCCCAAATGACAAAGCCCCAAGATTAAGGAAGCGGCAAGAAGGGGCTGCCCCTCTGCAAGGTTTTTCCACTGTGGTCCCAACTGAGACCTCCCCTTCTCCCCCCAACCCCGTCTCCAAACAGAGCAGGCAGGAAATTATGCTGCCAAATCAATCCCTTTGGGCAGCCTGAGGCCATTACCAACATCTCTAGGACCTGGATTAAGGGCCTGAGGCCACACTTTTACCCCTTTGCACCGCAGTGTCTCCAGCCCTCCAAACAGGACCCACAGTCAGGTACGAAGGAAGAGTGCCGAGCTGGGGCAGCTGGGTCTGTGAGATGGCTGCTCATGGGCCCAGGACACACTGGGTTCACTTGGAGGCCCTGGCCAGGCCTGGCAAGGCACTATGGGAAATAGGCCCATGGCCCTGTCCAAGAAGTGGGGCAAGCCCCCCACATTCTGTCCCATGGCCCCTAGTACTTGGCATACTATTCTAAGAGGTGCCTTGACAGCAAGAAGGGAACCCACACCCAGGAGTCAGAATCCCTGAGTTCGGCCCCATCCTGCCCTGCAGCCTGGGGTGGTGCCCAGGCCTTGTCCATAGGAAGTGCTCCCAGAGCTTTAGGGACTGCAGACTGTGTCCTCCAGCAACCCTCCTGGAGTGCCCGTGGCACATGCAGACCTCTTCCTTCTCTGCCCTGTGGAACTGACTGCTCTGTGCACTGAGGTGCCCCACGTGGCTGGGCCTATGCCTGCACACAGAGGTGAGCATCTGGGCTTGCTGGGCGTGGCTGGCAGCCTTATTACCATAAATATTAGTAACAGTGCTGGGGCTAGGAAGGCCCCATTCAGGTGCTCATGCACTATCTTATTATTATTTTTTTTTTCTTTCTTCTTTCTTTTTCTTAGATTCCATGTCTAAGCTTATCATGCACTATCTTAATCCATTCATCCAGCAGCTCCACTGCGGGTGTTATTCTTATCATCCCTGCTTCTCAGATGAGAAAACTGAGGCTGAGAGAAAAAAGACTTGCCCAAAGCTGTAAAAGAGGCAGACTGGGGGTTTGAAGCCCAGGGAGTCCAAAGTCCTCATTCTGCTCTTCCATGATTTAACTTCTCTGAATGAGGACACTTCAGGCCCAGCCATGGTAGTGAGATGGCGTTACCTGGGCATTTATGCTTACACGCCTCCCCTGACCCTCACACTCTCCTCTCCAAAAGCCGGTGCAAAGTCCCTCCCCTGCATAGTCCTCCTGGTGCCCAGCACAGGCTACTTCCCCTGCTGGCTTCCAGATCAGGCCTGTCTTTGTTCTCTACCCCTCCTCTGCCCTGGACCAGAGGGCTTGGCTTCCTGTCCCTGCTCTGCAGTGAGGACAGCTCTGAGTCTCCTTTATATCCCTGCTCCTAGCAGAGGGTCGGCCAAGAGTGGGTGCTCAAGTGTCAGGAGGATAAACCAGACAGCACAGTTGGTGCACTGACCCCCAAGGAGGCCAGTCTAGTGAAGCGGAGCACTGCTGGCTCCCCCTGGGCACACGGAGGGGGTCACTCAAGGCTCTCCACAGCCTGCATACCTCTCCGGCCACTCTGCAGTGGCCCCTCACTTCTGCTGTTCTCTGCACACACCCACTCGTTCACTCACCTGCATGTGCACACATACACATGCACCTCCTCCTGGAACAGCCCCTGCCCTGCCCCCCCCCCATCCAGACTGAAGTTCTTGTCCTTTTAAATACACTAGAAACATCTTTGTCCTTTCACTCCATAAACACCAAGCACCTACTATGTGCTACACTCATGGTGAGCTGCCAGGGACATTAGTGAACATGCTGGTTCAGTCTCTGCCCTCACCAAGCTGCCAGTTCATTGGGCCAGAGCACAGGATGGAAGGCTCCTAGAAGAGGTGATATGGGAGCCGCTGAAGAGCAGGGAGATTTACGACCTGAGGCTGGAGGAGCCTGGGGGAGGAGGAGGAGTACTAAGAGCAAAGGCTCCCTGAAGGGGGAGGGCAGGCCCCGATGGGGAAGGGAGAGTTCTTCAATCAACCAGGGAAGAATGGCCGGCTGGGTCCCAAATGCTGGGCTGAGGTGAGCTGAGGATAGCTGGGCCCTGGGAGTATAGAGGTGAGTGCTGCATTAGGCTCTGGCTGCTTTGTGGCCTGCACCCTGCCCCAGGGAGACCTTGGCCCCTAGACAGGTCCCCACAGCAGTCCAGCAGGCAGGGGGATAGAACTTGCAGAAGACATCCATGCAGCCTGATAAACAGCATCACCAACCACCGAGGCCTTGGGTGGG